TTGTGTGTATTGTGTGTATTGTGTGTATTGATAAAGGCAAATAAGTGTGTGTATATTCATAGTAATGATTATATACATTTTGACGCATGTAAATACGTTGAAAATCGGTTGATTCAATTGGATCCATCTATAAAGGCACAACCCTTCAGACTTTGGTACTACATAATATATACAGAAGTACTTGATGTGTTTCTCATAAGCTTGTTCTTTTTGTCTCATTGCTTGTACCTCCATTGTCTTGTCAGGAGCGGATATGCCTCGTACGATCGATATGATGATAGCCAAACTCGCCGCAAACCCGTTGGTTTTGCACCTGCCCATTTTCACAGGCAACCAGGTCTTCACTGGGGTGTGTTTTATACACATGCGTATTTGAATTTCAAAATCGTACACATATACGTGTACACAGTATGTGTATGTGTAGATACTTATACGTACACAGGTATATATGTGCGTATATTTTAGGATACACAGTGGAGTATATATATATATATATATACATATACATACATACATACATACATATATATATAAATTACGCAAGAATGTCCAAGTATTTTATGTGTATATATATGTATAAACTATCTATATATATATATATATATATATATATATATATTTATATATATATGTGTACTAAGTAGTTTAGTTATATATATATTATTATTATATATATATATATATATATATATAAATATATATATATATATACATTTGTATATCTATATATATATCTTTTTATATATATAATCTATCTATCCACCTCTCTACCTCTCTATCTATCCATATATATATATATATATGGTCATAATTCACTTCAAGTCCTCCCGCGTACAGATCATTGATTTGGTGTCCATGATGACTGTCCATTTCGAGGGCGAAGAAGGGGATGACGTCGTCAAAAAGCCCTTAGGAAAAGATCACGAACAATACAAAGATGCAGTGGAGGCCAGGGGGGTATGTTCTAATAAAGTGTCACTTAAATATGTGCTGTGTGTGAGGTAAGTGGTAGTTGGGAACGATCTATTTGCGTGAGCTATCTGTTGAAATTTCTTTGATTCCATGTCTCGTTTTCCGTATGTACCATATCAATTTTGCAGGTTTTGATCGAGAAGCTGTGCGACCTGGACGATGACTTTATGGATATGGTCCTCAATGGCAATCCGGACGATCCGTTAGTGGTCGATGCAGGTGCGTATCGGTAACATGTATAAATACTATGTATTCATATATATATATATATATATATATATATATATATACTACTAGTGAATATATATATATATATATATATATAGTATATATATATATATATAGTAATAATAATAATAATATATTATATACTA